GACAGTGTCTGAGCAGGGGAGGGGCAGAGACAGAGACACACACAGAATCTGAAGCTAGCTCCAGGCTCTGGGCTGTCAGCACAGAGCCTGATGTGGGGCTCAAACCCATGAACCACGAGATCAGGAGCTCAGCTGAAGTTGGACGCTTAACCAACTGAGCCACCCAGGCACCCCTGAGGTTCCTGAAAAACTTAAAAATAGAACTGTCTTATGATCCAGCAATTGCACTACTGGGTATTTACCCAAAGAATACAAGGAGAGTAATTCAAAGGGATACATGCACTCCTATGTTTATAGCAGCATTATTTACAATTAGCTGAGATACGGAAGCAGCCCAAATGACCATCAACTGACGAATGGATAAAGAAGATATGGTATATTCCATATACAATGGAATATTATTCAACCACAAGAAAGAATGAAATCTTGCCAGTTGCAACGACATGGATAGAACGAGAGGGTATAATGCTAAGCAAAATATGTCGGTCAGAGAAAGTCAAATGCCATGATTTCACTCATATTTGGAATTTAAGAAACAAGACAAATAAGCAAAGGGGAAAAGAGATAGAGATAGAGATAAAGAGAATCAAAAAACAGATTGTTAATTATAGAGTACAAACTGAAGAAGGGAGGTGGGTGAGGGAGTGGGTTAATAAATAGGTGATGGGGATTAAGGAGTGCACTTGTCATGATAAGCACCAACTGATGTACAGAATTATTGAATCACTGTATTGTATACTTGAAATTAATATAATGTTGTGTGTTAACTAACTGGAATGAAAATAAAAACTTAAGGGGCACCTGGGCGGCTCAGTTGGTTAAACATCTGACTCTCGGGTTTTGGCTCAGGTCATGACATGTCTGGTCTAACAGTGCAGAGCCTGCTTGGGATTCTCTCTCTCCCTCTCTCTCTGCCCTTCCCTCGCCATCTCTCTCTCTCTCTCTCAAAATAAATAAACATCAAAAAAAAAAAAGTAACTTAAAAAAAAAGATCTCACCTAGGAGAGCACTGAACCTAGTTTTGGCTACTAGTTGGTCAAATCTTGCTATTTGTTTACATGGTTTAAATGCTTATTCACTGTTAGAAACAATTTTTGAGATGGCTTTGAATTTTGAAAATAATGAGTTTTTGAAAAAAAGGACTGATTGTGAATAGATAAGCTTCCCTAAATTTGGTGCTCTTCGACTCCAACCAGAAACTAGAAAGCTGGATGGTCCTTTTGAACCTAGCAAGCCAAGAGGAGTCTCTGTCTTATTTAGGAGGACTGTTGAAAGGGGGTTAAGAAGCAGGTGCAATTCCAAAATTCAGCCACAAAATTGAATACTGCCAGACACATTCGTTGGGACTTGGCATACATTGCATACAGTATCTTTGTGACAGGGCCAACCAAGGTCACACAAATATAGAAATGAAAAATAAGCAAGAAAACCCAGAATCAAACTCAACTCCACTCGACACCCCAGGCACAAATAAGCAAAAGTTTGCCTACCTTTTTAATGTCTTCACAATCTTCTGAGGAGCTAGGAGGATGTCTGTGTGTGGCTGTATAGGAAGCAAAATCTGCTTGTAATTTTATCAAAGCCTCTTCACGCTCCAGAACCTGCGTATAAGTGTAGGTCAGTCATGCTGGGTGATCAACAGAATGTGATTATTTCTAGACTAATGTTGCAGGGTGTTCCTTTTTTCAGCCTAAGTTCATTGTAATATTATACAAGTTATCACACACTTCCTGTGTGCTTAGTTCAGAGAAAGAATTAGGTTCTCAATCTTACATCAAGGTTCAGTAAGGCATAGGCAGTGGTTTGTCTCAAGTCTGTCAGTGGCCACATTTTGGACTCCCTCCTGAACCTCTGTGTGGTCTAGTTTATGAGGCAGAAGGTTCTTTAAAAACTGTGATGGAAAAACATACCTGATGTATCAGAGGACAGGATTCAAAGTTCAAGAATTAAAGAAGGAAGTTTCCTATGCAGTGGGTGGATGTGTATGTACTTAAAAAAAAATTTAAAAAGCATGAAAATTTTGTTCTTGTTGGTTGAAAATAATTCAAACAAAACCCAAATCATCAAAAATAAGTGAAATCTCCTCTCCATTTAGTCTCCCTTCTCTCCCTTCCACTAGGGGGCAATGGGTATTATGGGCAATTTACTGTACGTACTTCCATAATATGATCAAAGAGTTTAAAAAACAAAAGTGGAACTGAACTATTCATAGTATTTTGCAACCTTTCTCAACAATATATCACAAACATCCTTCTACACAGTCCTTACAGATCTACTTAATACTTTTTCTTGGCTGCATATTACTCTACAGTATGGATATCTCTTTAACCATTTAAAAAAAATTTCTTCAACCATCTCCCTATTGATGAACACTTAGGTTGTTGTGTGAGAGATTTTAAGTCTCTTTAGAATCTTGAACTTAGTGTGGGTTCGGGGGATGCATCCATGGAGAATATGAACAAAAGGTGGGGGCAAGTATAATTAAGATATTTGAGGAGTCTTGGGGAAAGAGATTACTTTAGGTGACTCTTTTTCCCTCCTTTCTTTCTTCATGGCATTATTTTTGGTGTCTCAGAAAAATGTTCTAGAAGTCACTTACCAAAGCATTACTGCAGGCTAGTTTATTTCGAAGTTCCTGGATTAGATCATCCTGTTCAGAGACCTTTTGCCAGACTTCAGACAGTCGTTTCAGGGTCTCCTGATGCTCTTGAATCATGCAGGAAGAAGTATATATACGCACCTTTGAATGGTCACCCTTATTCTCAGGGTCCTGGGATATTTAGAAATAATGGGTTGGTTTTGTTCATGATATTTGAGTTAACTTCAGAATAACAGAAGCATGGAAAATCTCTTTGCTCTATATTCTAAAAGTTCATGTTCATATATGTGAATCATATCTCCCTAAGTTAAAGAAAAAATTAACCAGTGCATACACATGGTGAAAACTTCAAACAGTTCATAAGAGGATACACTGAAAAGTTAGTCTTCCATCTCGACCCTCCATGACCCAGTGCTCTTCTTCTATGACAGTCTGTGTTACCAGTTTTGGGGGGTATCCTTCCAGGGATATTTTATGTATATACATATATATACATCGGTATATATACTGAGTTGGCACTTCAGAGTAATGGGAGAGAGGTTCAACAAATCAAGTTGGGACAGCTGTAGACCCCTCTTGGAAAACACAAAATTATGTATATCTATATTTATCTATCTACCTATATATGTAGATTCTCTCTCTCTCTCTCTCTATCCATCTATATCAATTCCAAATAGACTAAAGATAAAAACATGGAAGTACAAATCTACAAAAGTGCTAAAAAGAAAATGAGGTAAACTTTTATGATCTTGGGGGTAGAGAAGGTCTTCCTAAGCATGAAATCAAACCTCGAATCTATCAAGGAGGCCTCAGAGATTTAACTCCATAAAAATTTAAAATTTCTGTATAGTGGCGTGCCTGGGTGGCTCAGTCAGTTAAGTGTCCGACTTCGGCTCAGGTCATGATCTCACAGTTCGTGAGTTCAAGTCCCGCATCAGGTTCTGTGTTGACAGCTTAGAGCCTGGAGCCTGCTTCAAATTCTATGTCTCCCTTTCTCTCTGCTCCTCCTCCGTTTATGCTCTCTCTCCTTCAAAAATAAATAAAAACACTAAAAATTAAAAAAAAAATTTTTTTTTAACGTTTATTTATTTTTTTGAGACAGAGAGAGACAGAGCATGAACGGGGGAGGGGCAGAGAGAGAGGGAGACACAGAATCGGAAGCAGGCTCCAGGCTCTGAGCCATCAGCCCAGAGCCCGATGCAGGGCTGGAACTCACGGACCGCGAGATCGTGACCTGAGCTGAAGTCCGACGCTTAACCGACTGAGCCACCCAGGCGCCCCTAAAAATTTTTTTTAAAACAATAAAAAAAAATTTTTCTATATAGTGACAAATACCATTAGTAAAGTAAAATGAAAAGGTACAAACTGGGAGAAGGTATTTGTCACATATGTAATACAGCACTATTACACGTAGTATATTAAGAAGTTCATGTAAGTTGATACACAGAAGACTACATACCCAATTAAAAAATAGGTTAAGGATTTAAATAAGTAATTCATCAAACAGATATCCATATGACCGATACACTCATGAGCAGTGCTCAATATTTGTCAGCATGGAGGTGTGGGCACTGTGATGTGCCTCCCGGGCTGGGAGGTCTGCCCTGAGACAGCCCTCAGTTGTCAGCCCTTTTTGGGGATTGCCTGGGCTGAAGAAAACTGCTTTGCCCAAAGTCATGCCTCTTCCTAGGGGCAGCTCACACTCAAAACTGATCAACATGGAGCTAGACGGTTAGCTCCTTCCCCCCAATTTGGGCCCGTTTTGAAGGTCTGTTCAGCCCCAGAGCTCCCCACAGGGTTGGCTAAGGCCTTTGTTGGGACTGCATCACAGCTCAGCTTCTCCCCTGCTCAACCTTGCTTCCTTCTCCTTCCTGTCACAGGTGCTGATACCCAGGGATCTCCCTACCAAAATGTGCTGCTTGCCAATTTGTCTCAGAGTCTGCTTGGTGGGGAGCCCAACCTGCAACTGTTAGAGTTAAAGGAAATTAAAACTGTAATGAAAAACTTTTTTTTCCCCATGCATCAGGTTAGCAAAATGTAAAAAGACTGAAAACATAACCATGGGAGTGAGAGGAAGTAAGCTCCCTTTATTATTGTTGGTAAAGGTGTAAACTGGGAGAACCTTTTTGACATTCAATTTAGAAGTATCTTTAAACATTAAAAATAAGCATATCCTTTGACTCAGCAATCCCACTTCAGGAAATTATCCCATAGGAATAAGGATGTTCATTATAGCTTGTTTGTAATAGACAAAATAGGTCAGTAGATGGTATAGTCATACCATAGAATACAAGGAAATGGAAATTGTCAAGATCTACATTTAAAAGGCAAGGTGGAGAACCACATTTATGAAATGACCCATTTATATAAAAAGAAAATCCTAACCATTTATATATGTAACTGCATAACAAAAGACTGAGGAAGATTCCCAACAGATTTTTCAAATGATTACCTGAGGGGAGGAGGGGGGGGGTGTAGAGGAGGCTGAAGGCAGGCTTTCAAATTTAATCTCTGTAATTCTGTCTAGAGAGCCTACATTGTTGTATTACTTGTGTAATTAAAAAAAGCAATTAAAGGAAAAAAAAGGGGATTCAGGCATTTTGGCTCTTCTTTGTTATCTTTTATGGGTTTCTCCCCGTTTGACCCTGAGGTATGGTATGCATGAGTCCTGTGACCTACATGAGCCCCCCAGCCAGAACCCCCCCATGAGAACATGGAAGATTTGAGAGTTCAGTTATTAGAAATGCTGCATCTTTATATTAATTAAGGAGCTTCAAAATTCCTAGGGAGGAATCTTAAAGGAGATGTAAAGGCTGGAAATTGAAAGCTGAGGGCTCCAACACTGAAGGGAGGGAACGACATCTGGTTGAAGGTTTGGGTTTCCCTCAGAGGAAGCAGGGACTGTTAGCAGGGACAACCAGGAAGCACGTCCACTTGCTGGAGTGCCTGGTCTGAGTGGTTTGGGGTGAGTCCTACCTGACTGACGATCCCGCTGAGCTCCCCCTCCAACATCTTCACTTGGCACTCCAGTAACTCAATGTTGCTTAGGGAAGTCTGGTATTTATCCCTGTAGAGGTTTAGGCTCCTTTCTAGGGAGATGATCTTGTCCTCGGCCAAAGCAAGTTGCTCCTGTGCCAAATGGAGCTTCTCCCCTGTGTTCTCATTATGATTTCCCATTTCCTCCTCATAGAGAATCACCTGTTGGTGTAGGAATGAAACCACACTGAACTCATGGAGGCATCTCATGAGGAAAGAGCACGGCTATCAGACCCCACGCAGAGGAGTCTTATGTCTTAACTAGAAGCCCAGATGTTCAGAATAGGCCCAGCACAGATTTAAAAGCTATGATATACAATATCAGAATTTAAATGATTAGAAATAAAAAAAAAAGATGGTCCTATTTGGATGGTAAACTTCTTAAAGACAGGGGCCATTTTCTATTTCCCATTCTGCCTGGCATGTAGTAAAAACTCAATAACAACTTGTCAGTTGATTAATATGAATGCATTTCTATAGCTCCATTTTTTTAAGGGCTTGAAATGCCAGTATTCTTTCCTTCCCAGGTATTCTCTAGAGATCAATTTAGAAAAAGTGGAGCCCCTCATGCACACAGCAAAGTTCCTGAGAGACCATGGGGGAACAACCCCAAATTCCTCTGGGACTTGCACAATTCTTATCTAGATTCCTTTCCTTCCTAATCAGTTAATTAGTCAACCAACTGACAGGTATTTATTGAGTGCTCATAAGCAATGTCTTGGGTGTTGAGGGGATATGTTGAGGGGATAATTTGGGGGAATGTGTGATTTATAACTAGCAAACAACTGTCTAGAGTTGAGTGTGCTAGGTTGTATGGCTAGAGTTATATGTATTGAAGGAGAAAAGAGCGGGAGGGTCATCAAGGAATGTTTCATCTTGGTTCAAATAGTTCAGTGTAGAAACTGGATAGAACGCATTCTGTAAGTCTAAGCTATTTATTGCCATTTGAAGTTCCTCTTAGGAAAAGGTCACTTAGTTTGAGATGTTTATTAGATAAGGGAAAGAGGAAAGGAATATTTATGTTCAAATGTCTATAACCGAAGCTGTCAGTGACTTGCTCACATCCCCTTGGCACTCACCATTCCTTTGCATGCTAAATGCATTCCAACCACAAACATCTTCAACTCATTGCCTGAGGGATGCTCTGGCCTCAGGAGCCCACTCAAGCAGAGGAGAAAGACAAGGCACGTTACAAGTACTGGGGAGTTAAAAGCCTCAGGTGCATCCTTCGACCACTGACTGGGTGGGTTGGCATGGGATCACCATGTTCTACACTTTCTCCCAGGGTTCTCCAGAGGGCATGAACCCCAGGTGCCCACAGCAGGGGTCTTGTGATTTTCTTTATGGGCTTCCTGCCTTTCTTTGACTCACTTCCCCACTCTCTCTCCAGGATCACCTCCTGAATAAACTACTTCCATTCATTTCCTTGTCGTAGGCTCTGCTGTTGGAAACACAACCTTCCACAAAGTTTAATGCTACTGAGTAACAAAGTATTGAGGAAACTTGGCAGAATGTTGAGAGTAATTTTTTCCAATGCTTTCCTTGTGTGAGATCTTTGTCAGTGACTGCTACTTGCCAGATCCCACATCAACTCTCCCCCTCCTCCTTCATAGTTGAAACTTGACTTCATTTGGGATGGCAGTGCACCTCACTAAAATACATTTCCTTGGCTTTCTAGAAACTAGCTGTAGCCATGATGCATAAATGAAAGTGTTGTATGGGGCTTCTGGAAGGTGTCCTTAAAAGAGAAGAGTGTCTTTTCCTCTCCTCCTCCTCCCTTGCCCCCATCCTGATTATTTGCCACCATCACAGGATGTGAAGTTTGGAGCTCCAGCAGCCATCTTAGGAGACCTAAAAAATGGAAGTCTGGAGCTGATGATGGTGGACCCAAAAGATAGCACGCTAGAATTGCAGTTCCCAAAATAGTCCTAGACTATCCACCTCCAGCCATCTTAGCACTATCCTAGAGAGTCTCTGGAATTTTATCTCAAAAGGCAAAGGAAGAAAATACCAGGGGAGGCTGCCTGTGGCTGCCTGTCTCATAACATAGAACCTATAGTTTTTACTGCTGCTAGTGCTACCACTGCTTAACTGGCTTAAATTCTATAGTTTTGGTCTTTGGAATTGACTCGGGATTCCACAAGGATGCTCTTTCTGGTTTAAAAAATACTATCCTGGCACATGAATAGAAATGAATGTACAGAATATACTTAAGTCTCTATGATCTAAAACTCCAGTCTGAAAAAATGACCAATCTGGTACTCTCAGTGATTGACTCAGACTCAATGTCTGGTTATCTTATCAACTATCAAAGTGCTAAAAATTTATATATTATCAAAATCTGATTTTTCTAAAAATGGTTCATTTAATGGATTTTATGCCTCTTTTTTATAACCCTCAGAGACCTAGAGTCTTTTGCATTTAAATTGCAATGGTAATAGGATGGAAATGATGGACCTATATGCACACCACACATACACACATCATGTGCCCCACATGTATCGTTAGTGGAGCTCTCATTTATGCCATTCTGTTTAGTTCCCTCTGTTTGGTTTCAAAAAGAATGAGAATTAAAGAGGGAACATTGATAAAACCTGCTCAGGATATTGGGAAGTTCTCTGTAAGCCCACCGTCTGTTTTCTAGTAGGTACGACCTGATTTCTGTAGGTACATGGGCAAGGAGACATTTCCATAGTTATTCTATGTATACCTCATCTTCTTTTAGTTTGCAGTGATGGTGGAGAAGAACCAGGTCAGAAGTCTGCTTTTCTAGGACGGACTGATACTGTAGGAGGGAACAGTAAGAAGTCTGCAGCTCTTCTGTGCGAAACTCCAGTTCTTGCTGGAGAGCAAGCAATTTTTTCTTGAGTTGTTGGAGTTGCCTCAGATGGCACTGCTTACTGGGCTCAAACTCCATCCGCGGCTCCTTGAATGCTAGCACTTGCTTCTTATTCTGCAATTGAGATCAAATATATGGAAAGAACTTTAGGTTGTCGCTCAGTTTGCATTCATTCTTTGATTTTTTTCACTTGTCCAACAATTCACATCCATCTATAGTCATCCTTTCATCCACAGAACACTTACTAAACACTTCACTGTATTCACAGTGAAAAATCATTTTATATTTCCATCCGGTAAGGAGGATTTGAAAGAAAAAAAAACCTAGGTCTTTCTTACTATTTGGATCTACCAGTCGTATTATTTGAGCCAGAAGAAAAAAACATACAGCTAAAGAATCTAGAAAGTAGTACAAAGATACACATGTTAATATGGGTTTGTTTGTTTGGTCTTCAACTTAAAAATAACCTAAATGACCTAGAATGTAGTAAATTTCTGGTCAGTGTTCTTGGACTGAACTCGATTATTAAAAATGCTCAGATAAAAAGGTAAACTCGGGGCGCCTGGGTGGCTCAGTCGGTTAAGCGGCCGACTTCGGCTCAGGTCATGATCTCGCAGTCCGTGAGTTCGAGCCCCACGTCGGGCTCTGTGCCGACAGCTCAGAGCCTGGAGCCTGTTTCAGATTCTGTGTCTCCCTCTCTCTGACACTCCCCCGTTCATGCTCTGTCTCTCTCTGTCTCAAAAATAAATAAACGTTAAAAAAAAAAAAAAAGGTAAACTCTTAGGGAAACAGCTTTTTGGAATGCTGGGAAATGGGAGGCAGAGCTATCATTCAGGGACATCTGGGCACAGACTCTGTTGTCTCCTCCTGAAGGAAGATGTGACCCTGTAGATGCTGAGTGTGTGTGTGTATGTATGTGTGTGAGAGACACAGACAGAGAGACACACAGAGAGAAATAGAGAGATGGAGATAGAGATAGAGATAGAGATAGAGATAGAGAGAGAGAGATTTCTTCCTGCTAATCCACAGTCAACTTGAAAAGCTGCTATAGACCCATCTTATGTTTTTACTCATTCATTCAATAAACATACATTGAGCACCTGCTTTGTATCAGGTATACTGCTGGTAGGATGTATCCCTGAGGTATTTATTACAGTACAGTTGAGGTCTTTGCACTCAAGTTTCTATATTTGCTTGCCCAACATCCTTGATGACATATGAAAGAGAGGTGGATGCAGAGGGTGGCCCATGGGCATTCCTTAACTCCCATTTCTGCTTATTATCCTCCTATTCATTCTTTAAAACTGTCCAATTCTTGCTTTCCTTGTTTTCCCTGCAAAGTTGCCTTTGCACCAATACCATACACTTTACTGTCATGTCTTTAATATGGCATTTCACATTCCATCTTGCATTGCAGTGACCTCTGTATATCTTAACTTCTAATTAGATTATAAACTCCTGGAGGCCGGGGCCATGTCTGCTTCTATAGGACATAGAGATTTATACACAGTTAGGTATTAAAGGAAAGTAGGAAGTAAAACAGAGAACAGACAATATCATTGGCTCCCAAAAATGTGAGCTTGTGGTCTCGGGCTAATTAACAGAGTACTTTCAAATTTTTAAAAAATTAACATTTTTTTACAGGGTTATTGAAGTATACTTTATATATCATAAAATTCAACCATTGTAAGTGTACAGTTCAATGATTTGTTGAAAATTTATATAGTTGTGCAACCATTTTACAATCTGGTTTTAGAACATCTCCATCACCTCAGAAAATTCTCTCATGCCCATTTGTCACTCCTGTTCCTACCCCAGCTCCAGGCAACCACTAATCTGCTTTCTGCCTCTATGGATTTGCCCTTTCTAGACATTTCATATAAATGGAATTGTATGTCATCTTTTGTGTCTGTCTTCTTTCACTTAGCATAATGTTTTTGAGGTTCATCCAGGCTATAGAAAGAATCAGTATTTTGTTCTTTTTTTTATTGCTGAATAGTATGAATATACCATATTTTGTTTATCTGTTCACCAGTTGATAGATATTTGGATTGTTTCAGCTTTTGGCAATCCTGAATAATGCTGCTATGAGCATTAACATAGTAGCCATCTGCAGATGTGATATTTTCCTTTAATTTGTTTAGCAAACATTATGGTGTACCTACTATGTGTCAAGCACGGTACCAGGTATTGGGGATATAGAAGCATATAAAACAGAATACCTGCCTTCATGCATTTTTCATCTAGTGGGGAGGGGGGAGTCAGCAAATTAAGTAAGTAAATAATGTAGTGTATTAAAAGGAAAAAGTGCTATGGAAGAGAGTAAAGCAGGGGAGAGGGATAAAGAATGCTTGCATGGAGGGAACTGTAATTTTGAATTAAGAATTTTAACGGAGGACCAAATTGAGAAGGTGGTATTTGAGCTAAGATTTGAAGGAGGCAGGGAAAGAGCCTGGTGGGAATCTACAGCAGGAACATTCCAGGGAGAGATAACGGCTTGGACTAGGGCTTGGGCTATGGCTTGGGCTAGGGCTTGGAGGTGGGAGGTGCCTGGTGGTGTCTGAGGAATCACTTTGTTCTGGCTGGAGCAGAGAATGGGGCAGAGTGGTACCAGATGAGGTGAGAAAGAAAGAGAGGTGAGGTCCTTTCAGGGCCATATAGTCCATTCTAAAAACTTTAACTTTTCCTTTCAGTGAGATAAAAGGTCATTGGAAGGTACTGAACAGACAAGTGAAATGATATCCTTTAGATGTTACAAAGGCCCAGATGTTACACACTGCCCATTCTACTGAAAATCAACTGTAGGGAGGCAAAGACTGAAGCAGAGAGACCAGCAAAGAGGCTGCTACAAGAATCCAGGCAAGAAGGGATGGTGGCATGGACCAAGGTGGAAGTTGGGAGAAATGGCTGGATTGTAAATAGGTTTTGAAAATAGATTCCATAGGATTGGTTGCTGTGTTGGATGGTCGGAGATGATGATCATCCAAGGCAAATCGACTCCAAGGTTTTGGTCTGAGTAACTGGAGAGACCGAAGTTTAATGAGATTAATTTTGTGAGAACTGGGACTGAAAAGAGGGAAAACTTTCTCTAGTGAGAGTGAGTGGGGTGGCTCAGATAAGAGAAGGGAAGCTCAGCCCAGCTCAAAAGGAGAAAGACAAAAGCTAATTGTGTCAGTTCATTCTGAATGAGAAGACTGAAAATGCACCATTGTGGTCACCAGCAAAAGAAATCCTAGACAAAGACAAGCCAAACTTTTGGCTTGAATATCTGGTGTATGTGGCTGAAGGGAAGTTAATGATGACTTCTTTCTTAAGCCAAACAAAGCTGAATTTTGTATTTACTCTGTGCAACTATAATTGCCAACATTTAGATGGAATATTTTTAGTTAAGTGTTCTCATTCTTTTCAAAATAAGAATGTTGCTATTCTTGGGGTGCCTGGGTGGCTCAGTCGGTTAAGCATCCGACTTCGGCTCAGGTCATAATCTCATGGTTCGTGGGTTTGGGGCCTGCAATGGGCTCTGTGCTGATAGCTCACAGCCTGGAGCCTGCTTCGGATTCTGGGTCTCCCTCTCTCTCTGCCCCTCTGTCCCCTCCCCCACCCCCAATAAATAAATATTAAAAAAATTTTTTTAAATGTTGCTATTCTCAGAACTCATCGATGAATGAGGTTCAAAGAGAAGGGACTTGGGAGTGGTATGTGGGTGTGTGTGCATGCACACATACATGTATAGGGGGATGTTCTCAACTGCCGAAGTCTTCTGTCTCTGCAGGTAAGCTGGGGGTAGAAAGCTCCTTGGAAAAAGACATGGTCAAGAATAAATATTAAATGTGGCTAGAGCCAAAACAAGGGGGTGAACATCCTGGGGTAGGGTTAATTCAGAGGGCTTATTTTAGTGAAGCAGATAACCAACAAAATCCTTATCAAATTTTTCCCAAATTCAGTTTTTCTTGGCTTTGTTGAAGTTGATTTGATCTCTGAAAATTATAAAAACTGGATTCCTGGTCCCTCCAGTACTTGTGTGTAACTGTTGATTTGGACCTGCCTCTCTACTGATGGGTATATATGACCCAGTTGAAAACAAACTGTGCTCTCTTCACTGTTCATTCTTTCTTAGTTTCCCCTTATTTCCAAGTTCCTATTTTCTCTTCATCACACAAAAGAATGAAAGAAGTGCTCTTTGTTCATCTTTTTTTAAAGTCAAACTTTTTCTTTAGGGTTTCCCCTCCTAGAATGTGGCACATCATCTAATCTTAGGTGTGTTCATAATTGTTCTGTGGCTTGAAAGCCTCCTGTAGATAAAGAATGTCATTTCCTATGTGTATAAAGCTCAGCAAACTGTTAGTGATACTGGTGAACTGTTAGTTCCAATTTCTCTTCCCCAGAGGTCATGTTGAGTCTTCTGGGTTTAATTTTGGTTTGAGGTAACATGATAGGCCAATCAGATGATGAGAGTTCATTCAAATCTTCCAGTACAGGGCAAACATAATGCCTGGCCAAATTTGTCTGGTTTTGAAGATCCAAAGAACTGCCCATATCTGCAGAGAAACTAGAGTTTCCTTGATGAGAATTTTAAACATTTGTACACTATAGATACCATTGTGTTTAGAGGTCAAATTTCAAAGTCTTGGAGAAATGCCTGGAATTGTTTGAGACCTATTAAATTTCTACTTATTTATTCTTAAGTATTCAAAAGATTATTTTGTCTTAATTCTAAATTAATAGAAAATGACATGTTATGGATTAAGTCTGCATTTCACTTATAGATGTGCCAAAGAGCAGTATGAGAAAGGCATCAGTGCATTTTCTACTGCCTCTTTGTCTTCTTTGTTTTTTTTTTTTTAAGTTTTCTTTCTAGTGAAGACATAGATATTTTATGAGATTCTGCTTTGACCTTTAAACTGAGATTTGGAGAAAATAAGCAAGTTGGAAGTAATCTTCTGGAAGTAAGATTAGTTCTTGAAGTTACCATTCAGAGTTGAATGGTTCCAGAAGGCTGTCAGGTCCACCATGTTTCTCAGACAGATTTCTATCCAGGCCTCAGGTGTTTTAAAAGATGGAGAGCACTGGCCACCTGTAGGAACCTGTTGCCATATTTAGTCAATTTCTCAGCCCTACTTATGGTCAAAGAGATTATAGCTATTGCTCTTTCCTTGCCTATGTGGCTACTTGATCACAGAAGGAAATTAATTGGCCTGGCATGATTTGCCTTTTGAGAAGTCACTTTGGTTTCTACCCAATACTTTGTGCTTTTCAAGTTGATGCTAATTGATTGATGTTAAGTTCTATATTTTCCCTGATATTGAAGTTAAGCTGACAGGTCTATAATTACCAGGATTGTCCTTTTTCCCTTTTTAAAAAGATGAGCACTTCATTTACCCTTTTTCAGTCTACAGGGACTTTCTTTATCCTCTTGAGTTCTCAAAAATAATCGCTAGCAGCTATGTAATAACACCTGCCAATTCCTTAAGTACTCTTCAAAGTATGTCATCAGGTCCTGCTGATTTGCCTAAAGCCGGCTTTTCAAAATACTTTTTAACCATTTTATTCCCTATTCTAGTTTGCACTCTCTTCTGTCTCAGGTTGGCATCGCTGCTGCCTTTTCCCCTCCATTTAAGAACTGAAACTCTCATCTTTCCCCAGTCATTGTCATGAACTTCTTTATTTTAGAGGTGTTAAGCGAGGTATTTTCTCTGTAACTCTAGTTTAGCCTTTTATCACTAGATTAGTTTATCTGTTACTTTTCATATCTTCTACAAGTTACATTTCTTGTACTTTCTTGTATTGGTAGAGTGTAAAACTGTGTGTTTAAGTGACATGCATTTCTTTTGGATACATCTTCATGGTTCAGACATTTTTCTTATCAGTGATCTCTGCTTATCAGAGATTCCCTTTAAAGAAAAAAAAACTATTTTGGAATAGTTTTAGATGTACAGAAAAATTGCAAAAGTAGTATATAGAATTCTCATATGCTCTTTACCTGTCTTCTCCTAACACTAACATTTTACATAACTATAGTACATTTGTCCAGCTAGAAAATTAACATTGGTAGGTTACTATTAAACTACATACTTTATTCGGATTTTATCTGTTTTCCCACTAATTTTTTTTTTTCTGTTCGAGGATCCAATCCCAGATTCCACAAGGCATTTAGCAGTTCCACATAAAAAATTGTTTTTCATTCCCAATGACTCAATATCAGTCATATTTCTGTGCCATAATTTCCATCACGGATGTATTAACCTGTATTCAACTGGTTACTTTTATTTTCAGAAATCAAATTTCTTGCCCAGTTTTATGCTAAGAATAGTGTCCTACATCCACTTCAAAGATGAGTTTGATAATCTAAGCTCTACTGAAAATCAGGGTGTTCTCCCCAGGCCACCACCGGGGCCAAAGGGACCTGGGAAATTGCACAGAAAGACCTTTCTTTTTCTAATTTGATCATTCTTTTATTATGATATCTCTGTTGTTCTTTTCTCCTTTCACGTTAATTGAAAGGTTCCTGGGCAGGTTCAGGACTACAGTGAGGCAAGTGCAGATTTTAAGAAGGCATTCAGTCTCCAGGCACTCACTCACTCACTTGAGGGTGAGTGCCCTATAACATTTGTACCCTCGGTACCTCATTTGCTTTAGCTATCTCTGTTTCTGGGTTTTGGAGCATGACATATTCTTGTTTTACTAGGTTACCCACCCCCTGCCTGCGATCCCTGTAGTTACATGTTAATATCCGATGTAGTATTTTAATTTTGTCTCCTAATTCTAGTTCTTAATTATGACCTCTGGTTTATTTCTCCAGATCTTTGTTAGATAGTAGTCAAAAATTTCAGAAAGTCTTGGGTTTTCCCCTCTGTTCCCATATTACATTTCCTTGTAGAAGGCAGATCTTGCAGGGATTTTCTGAGTGGATGAGTATAAGTCTACATCTAATTGTGTATTTGTATGCGCAGTCTCCAATTTAAATTCTGCACTAAGTGCTAGGAAAAAAAGAGAGCCTGTTTTAAAGCTTATTTCAAGCTGTTAGACCTTCTTCTGGGCAATTAGAATAATAAAATGCGATTTAATACCTTTCTCCTTCCAAGTTGCTAGGTACATTTATAAGCCACATGGCTATCCCTGACTGGGGGAAAAAATAAACTTGTGACAGCAATGGTGAGAATATCAAAAAATGTTAATATTTAGAAAGAAGTAAATTATGATAATATTCTTCCTGAGATCCATTTAGGAAAACTAATGGATTTTTCTATGTTTGTGACCTCCTGGAGAAAGGACAGTAACGCTCAGTAGGATAAGGTGGAATTGCTTTGTTGGTAACATTTTTAGGACTTTGTAGAGGAAAAAATCTGTGGTTTTGACAGAGAGGTAGTAAGTCCTGAAAGAAGTCTAATAGACCCAATTAAGAGAGACCAGACCACAAATATTGAAGAAGACAGTGGAGTCTTACACAGTCTTACACAGCTAAGGCTAACTAGGGGGTCTAGCAGCAGATCTATGCAACCAGTAGCAGCTTCATGTTTGCCAAGGACTCAAGTCCCTAAAAAGATATGAAGACTGCAAATAAGGCATCTTATAAACCCAAAGTTTTCAGAGAGCTATGGGAAAATATCTTCCAGCTGGCTTCCCAGCTTCTGGGGATAAATTTAGAGATGGGTTTACAGAGCCTAGAACTAGAGTTTCCAAAAAGAGAAAACCTCAGGCTTAATTGTTGCCTCAGCTGGTGAACTGCCTAGCCTACAGGTAAGTATTAGTTCAAAAAAGATAATCACGCCAGGGGAAGATGATCATGCCATTGTTCATACATGTGCAGGACAAGTGTTACTGAGTGTCTTGGCTTGCACACCTCCAGAAGCAAGCTCTGTGGCATGGGACTGAGTGTTAAATAGTAGTTTATGTGGGAAGTGATCTTGGGGAATTCAGGTAGGTGGGTGGAGAAATGAGACAAGGAAGGGGGTGTTATCAAGCTAGTTACCATTGTGGGTAGCTGGTGCAGGATCCCATTGAGGAACTCCAGGACAGAGCAAAGAGCATGCCTGGAGTATTCTATGACTGAGGGCCAAGAGACATAGATTATTTATCCATTTCCCCATCAGTCGTTGGTTGAGGGCTGCTTTTGGGGGCATTAGCCATTCCACATTTGAGCTTCTCTGGTGATTGGGTTCCTGCATCTAGAAGAAAAGCTTGTAGGCAGAGAGCTGCAGATGTGGCAATAAAGATCACCTGCTGTGCTGATGATCATTGACACCTCTAAGCAAGTAGGACAGTTGTTATTTTCATGGTTGACTTAGAAGTTTGTCTAACATCCATTAGGAGATGCTACTCTCCTTATATAATTAGGATTTGGTCTTTTCAGGTCTTTTCTGGCCTCAGATGCTGTAAATCCAGGTGTAAAAGGCCAGATAAGGAAAAGACAGGGCCTCAAATGTAGATGACCTTGGAGATAGCTAAATGAAAAAGTTCTGATGGCAGGGATGGGGTGTTCATGTGTGTGTGTGTGTGTGTGTGTGTGTGAGAGAGAGAGAGAGAGAGAGAGAGAGAGAGAGAGAGAGAGAGCAAGAGAGTGAGAGAGTGCATGTATTTAATTCTGCTCAATAAATGCTCTTGAATGACTAGTGGAAGAATTTTCCATTATTGTTCCTGCCTAAGGAAGCAGAGGTGGAAGTTGAGGGAGCAGAGGTGGGTAGTAGCTGCTGAATCCCTTACGCGGTTGCTACTCATCATTGCCTCCTCCACACAGAGTTGGTTCTCCTGCAAGGTCTTCCCCTGTCTCTTGCAGACATCATGCAGATGTTTGATGTCAACTTGCAGGCTCAAGAGCTTGCTGTTCAGGCCGCTCACTTCTCGGTCTCTCTCCCCCACCTAGGCAGTCAGAAAAAACACGAGCATTAATTATAAACTATCAAGAAAATGCTTACTTTCGTTCACTTAACTGGTTGACAGAGACTTTAAATTTGCTGGAAATTTGTCCATCAACTCTTAGCTGTTATTACTCATCCAGTGTAACATTTACACAGTATCCATTTGCGAGGTGTCTGAGTGCTCTGCATTATTCAGACAATTACTTATTTACATTAATTAATCTTCACCCACTGCTGTGGGTACATCACAGACACTTCCTCTGTTTTTCAAGAGGAAGTCAGTGCCTAGAATAATTCCAGGCACCTCGCAGACTGTCTATAAATATTAATGGTTCTGCCACTGATGAAATGAACATAGTGAGATGTCAAATGAACTTGTCAGGACTATAGTGAATCAGTGATGGAGTTGATGTGGATTCTGAAGTGTTTTAACTTTCTCTTCTACCCACTAATCCAACAGACGTCCTTCACCTGTAAACTGAGTGCTTTTCTGTGGAGACGTACACCAATGAGAATAAAAGTAAAATCCCTGGGCTGGTTGCATAAAATAATCTGTCTTTGATTACGAGTGAAAAAGATTAGCTAATTACAGCTAGGTCAGAATGGAAATTAATGATAGAGATCAAAATAAAGTGTGCGGAGCCTAGTAACTTGGGTGCAGTTGGGGGTGTAGAGCTGTGGTAAGAAAGTGTGTGCTCCATCACACTAGGATGCCACCGTCCACTCTCACTGTTGTGGGTGGCAACAGTATAGAAAGAAATTAGGAAGAAGCCCTTTGTGAACCTATCCAGTGCTTTAGTCCTGTCACCGTGCAGACTTTTCATAACACTCAAGAGGATAGGCACTACCACTTCTGAGTTTTAGATGTTGGAACTGAGTCTGGTACTTTTATGGTACATGATTATCCAAAGCAGGCTCTTAGGCAAGGATTCCCAGCATCTATTAAAGAAACACTCCCAAGAGAAATCAACCAGGAAGTGAAGGAAGCAAGACAGGAAAAGAAGAAGAAACCAAGGAAGGGCACTATTTCAGACAAAGTTCTCAAGGCAGTAGCTTTTGCCTGATCCCACAGGGAACTCTGGAGTGTAAGTTACACCTCGGGAGTTTGTCCTGATTAGTTGCAAAAGCTGGGCTGTTAGACTCATTATCAGCCAGTCAATGGCTAAGGGTTGCCCCATGGGATATAATCTCCCAAGGACTTCCAGCTCTCTGCTCTTATGAGCAAAGTGACCCCAATAGCCCAAGGGCAATTCTTCTAAGAGCGTTTCAGGTACAAAAGCATACAGAAGCCATGGGTGCACAAAAATGGTAAAGTGATCCAAACGACAGTGCCCAGGGTCTCATAGCTGGTTGGCAGCAGAATGAGGAGAGGTCTGCTCTCCTGACCCTGTAGCCAGTGATCTGCCACCATACCCCACTGATTGCTCTGGCTTCTTAAATACATGAGCTACATAACACTCATCCCCAGGGGAGCTGGAGACCTGATATGGACATCATAAATCAAGCCTTACTGGACAGGTCAGTTTAAGAGACCTCTGCACAAGGCCGAGGGGGGCCAGAGGATAACCATGAGAATCGGACACCGCAATGTCAGAGTATTCGGAATTCAGAAGGTTTCCCAGAAGTGCTGCTGTCTCAGCTGATTTATTTCTTCATTTCCATTTAGTACCTGGATTTTTTTTTTTTTTTTACCACTTTACAGTTTAATTAGGTTAACGGCATGGCTCTGTCATTAAAAGGATTTCATTATCTCAAAACTCTCTCTCTTCCTCTCTTGCTCCTGTCCCTCGTTCCTCACTTTCAGAAAAATAACAGTGGATGTCAACTGCCCCAAGCATGTAATTACCATTACAACAATTTACCAGGGACTCTCTTAAGAGAATGTGTGCAGAGCAGTTAAAAAAAAAAATGGTGTATGGACACTGTTTTCTAACTAGAAAAAATCCTTGACTCGACCTGGAGCAGAAGTTTGATTTCAGTTCTTTAAATTCCTTTTCGCATTGCTGCCACACTGGGAATAGGGAATAGAGGCTCTCTGGGTATTGAGACCCTAGGGATCTTCTCCCCCTGTTGCCACCGGACTCTTTCTTTGGCATCTATGAGCAGATTAGGCGACAATACAATGCCTGCTTTATAGAGTGTCACGTGCCCCATACTCTTGCTTTAATGCTGAATATACGCATCTTAAGGTGAGGACCATGTCACCGGATTGTTCCATATGGAGCCTGGCACACTGTGGACTCATTAACAAAGTAGCAGTGATATACAACTTGAGCTTCTCCAACTTAAAAGCTAAATGCCTTCTCTTTGTCAGGCCAATAAAAAACCCCTCTCCCTCTACTTTTAGATGTCTTCTGAGCAGAAGACCTGCTTGCCACCATTCTAATGCACCAACAGGACTTCAGAATTGGATCTTTAATGTAGATGATCTCATCTAATTTGGACATTAGCTTTGACTCAGAGTGTCTGAGGCAATTTCTTCATTCAGAAAACAAGAGGTTTGTAATAAATAATTCTTAGAGGATTCTGCAAACCAACTGAATAACAAATGTGTTTTGTTGGATGTCAAATGAAATTTGCTTTTGAAATCAAAACTAGGGGCGTCTGTGTGGCTCATTCAGTTGAGTGTCTGACTCTTAGTTTCAGCTCAAGTCATGATCCTAGGGTCATGGGATTGAGCCTCAAGTCGGGGTCCGTACTGAGCGTGGAGCCTGTTTAATTCTTTCTCTTTCCCTCTCTCCCTCCTTCTGCCCTTCTCCCCCACTCACTCTCTCTAAAATTAAAAAAAACCCAAAAAACCAAACAAAGAAACCCCTAACCATTCACTCTGAAAGTCAAAATCATACAGGGGCTTTTATTCATCAGAACAGGCGTGGAAATGCTAGGAGAGCAACGAGCTGACTCCCATGAACAACAAAAGATTTTTACTGTAGGCAGTTGTAAGAAGAGGATGTGCTCACCTCAGAACTCCAGAAATGCAAGTGTTTCTGAGGTTCCAGGAAACTTAATTTCTTGCTAATATCTTGCACAGAGGTCAGTGTACACTATTTCTAATCCTATCTACTTTATGAAGGCTAAATTCCAGGCAGATGCCTTTTGAGTATCAATATGTGGCAGGAATTGATTTAATCTGACATTTCATCAATCAAAGCTCTGTAACCAGTACTGGGGCATGAGAGGAACTGAGAGTCATAATGCTGACCTGCAGGCACCATCTGATCCTGCCCTAGATCTGAAGTCATTAACGATGGCTGAAATCACAAGGCTCTGCTGCTGGGTGAGTTTTCACTCACAAGCCATGCATTTATATACCCTGGTTTTACTTATACGAGGTTGGAACCTGGTCACCATTTGAAGGCATATGACATCAGCAGCAGCTACCAACCACAGGCAAAATGGTGAGGGCTGATACTGCAGTTGCAATGCTGATAGTTATTGGAAAACAGATTATTTACTGAAGCAAATCTTCTGTATTGATTAAATGGGTCTTTTTCAAAGAGCATGTCTTCTCGAACATACATTTCAAAAGCTCGGAAGAAATTTTGCTCTAGACTTCAAAGTACTGACAAATGGTTTCATGCTTCTTTTTGGGGGAAGCTGATGTGAAACTGAAGCCTGTGATTCAGAAGTAGTCTCAGAAGTCAAGAGCATTACAAAGATTTAAGATGGCAGCATTCTATGAAGGATTTGGCACTCAAACAAGAAACCTCGGGTGGTGGATTCCAGAGTAATTTTGGAGTCAACCAACGATACCATAAAGGTCATCATCTTTGGGAAATTATGTTTTTTATCTGAGGATAAACACAAATATTTAACAAACAATGGAAACCACGACTACCATTCAATATGTATAAATTTCTAGTGAGAATTATGTTTTAAAATTATCATTGCTTCAGGAATGAAGCATTTTACTATGTAATAGTAGAGTTTACAGTCATATACAGTAATTTCAAGCACTGTTATCAATCTTACTAACTTTATTCCTGAGTTTACATTTCCCTCAATAGAAACATTGCAGATTTTGATTACTTATAATGGGAATTAATGGGCACTTATACAAAGTTTTGCCTGTGAGCAAAAATTTTGGAACCAATTTTATTCATCTAGTGAAGAATGAGTATAATTTTATTGTGTTCTAAGTTCTTTAAAAATTGGCACACTACATAAATATATGGTTTAGGATACACATGGCATATGACAGAGGTCACCCACCTATGGAATATGGGCTGATTTTTATGGCACTTGGGCCATTGCTACATACTTTTCTCCATCATGCCCTTGGACAAATTATTTCACTAGAGAGAGTGAAATCTTCACTTGTGGAGAGTAAGCTCCACAAGAACAAGGATATTTCTCTATTTTGTTCCCTGCTTTATGCTCACCCCCTAGAACTATGCCTGGCACATCTAAGGCAGGCCAAGGATATAAGTTGAATGAAGAAATGCCCTTCTAGAAAATCCATGCCAGATCCTTGTTCCCTGAAGAATATGCGGCAATTCTGTACAGCTTCCTGCAGTAATGCAGCAGGAAAGTGTTCATTAGAAGAAGGTCTGTTAAAAGCATAAGTCATGTGGGACAATCCTATGCTAACCTAAACATCCGCCTTAAAAGCTTTCTGGAACAAGTGAGGGAATAGGTAAACACAGTTTGGCCAAAATATTAGACTAATTAGAACACTCCATTTCCATACCATTCCAGATAAAGAACAATGTTGGCAACAATAGTTAAGATCTATTAAACACTTCTTATGTCCTGAGCACTGGTGTTTTACACACAGTATCTTACTCAATCCTCACAGCAAGCCTTTGAAAAGGGTGCTAATTATTCATATTTCCTAAGTAAGGGGAAGGAAGCTCAGAGAGGGTAAGTAACATGCCCAATATTATAGTGCTATTAGATGTGGACCACGACCCACTTTGTTCAAGTCTGGGCTCTTAAATGCTATGGTCTGCTGCCTACATCTCTGTGATATTTTGGGATGCTTATTACTGGAGTTTGAAGTTAATTGTAACAAAGGTTCGACTCCATGTGTGTAGAAGAGTTAGGAGACTTACCTCATCTTTCATTTCCTTGGCACCTCTCAATTCTTCTTTAAGCTTTAGCATTTTCTGAGCTTTGTTATAAACCTGCAAAAGTCCAAGAATTTAAGATGGCAAAAATCGAAATAAGCCTGGCCCTTTAAAGGTTTTCCCATCTGGATGTGTGCTCTCAGCAGCGAGCCTGGAAAAATTTCCCCGAACTGTTAGCAATACCTACTTGTCTGCCCATCTGTGTTTTCAAAAGCGTGTTAAAACCTTTACCAGAAAGACAGGACCAAGGATTTACAGGTTTCCCCCAAAACCAACACTTGGTGGGCCAAAGAGTTTCTGAATTCATAGTTTCTTGGAAAGCAAAATATTGAGAGCTTACTTTCTAGATTTCTCACTATTCAATGGCTCAAATATAGTTAACATTATGCACTAATTATGAACCAGACAGAATGTGCACAACCCAACTTCATTCTCAGGATAACCCCACTATCCTTGTTTTACAGAGGAGGAAACTGAAGTCCAGAGAGGCTAAGTGACTTACCCAAGGTCACACAGGCTGTCTTACTATTCCATGAGGAGCTGTCATTAACTTATAACTATTAATTTGGAGATATCTGATGATGTGGTTTTTTCAAAGCATCAAGTTACTGTATGTTGGTGCTTATAAAGTTATGTAGAAACTCATAGAGTGCTGAGAATTATCTATATAAAAAGCCTCAAAGAAAACCAAAGATTTTTGCACATGTGTGTGCATAACTACAGGATAATGTGTTTGAGGTCATAACGAACTGACTTATTAAAATAATCCAATTTATCATGTTTTTCATTCTAAGACTAAAGGAGATTTCCGCCAGGCACTTACCTGCAGAATAGTTCCAAGAATGAGAAGCTATGAAAATACTCATTCTTTGTAATGAACCACATCCCCCACCCCTAATATAAGCCAAGAGGAAGAAAGAATGCTGGTGAGACATGGAATTTGGAATGTTTTATGGGGTTGTATTCTGATATGCTGCATTGTTTACCCTCTTTAGTCTTCGTGCACAGAGGTGCATCATGGGAGTGGGGGTGTAGCTCAGGCTACCCCAGTAGGGAGAGGCCAGGTGATGCTGCAGTGACAGACAGCCCCCATATTTCAGTGACTTAAAACCATGAAAGTTTACTTCTCACTGTGCTACATGCCCTTTATGAGTCAGCTGGGGCTGTTCCTCATTGTCCTCAGCTGGTAGAACCTCTGTCATCTAGTATGTTGCCTGTTGCCATGGCAGCAGAGGGGTAACATACAGGGTCTTAGAGTGGAAGTGACACACTTCACTTCGGCTCACATTTCATTGGCCAAAATAAGTCACGTGGTCATGCCTAACATCTTCCTTTATCCCCTAAAGGAAGTATTGGTGACCATCACAAATGATGTCCACACTAGGTGTCTCAGCCAGATGGACTGCTGTAACAAAGTATCACAAACAGGGTAGCTTATAAACAACAGAAATTTCTCACAGTTCTGGGGGCTGAGAGATCCTTGACCAAGTCCCCAGCAAGTTAGGTGTTTGGTGATGACCTTCTTCAGAGACAGCTATGTGTGTGTGTGTGTGTGTGTGTGTGTGTGTGTGTGTGTGTGTGTTTCCTGTAACTTTACATGGCTAAAAGGGCAAGGGACCTATGTGGAGTCTCTTTTAGAAGAAAACTAATCCATCTCATGACCTAATCAAATCCCAAAGTCCCCACTTCCTAATACCATCATTTTGGGAATTAGAATTTCAACACATGAGTTGGGGGGGGGGGACATAAACATTTAAACTAGAAGATTAAAAGTAATGTGGCATAAAAACACTAAACAAGGCTCTGGGCCACCAAGCTTCTAAACCTAGTTTAGCACCCATGTCAAGGAATGGCCTTTGGAATGAAAGGCACTCATCTATCTGAGGCTTTGTTTCTGGCTCTATCAACTGAGGTTGGGGGGTTGAATTAAATGACCATTGTCTCTAAGGTTTACTGATTCAATGTTCTACCATGATGCACATGTTTCTTTAGTATAACCAGCCTAAGCATCACACAAAAGTTGGAATGGAACAAATATATCCTGGAGAATAGTATTCCTCCAAAGGCAGGGGTGTCTGGGTGGTTCAGTTGGTTAAGTGTCCAACTCTTCATTTCAGCTCAGGTCATGATGTCACAGTTCACAAGATCAAGCCCTGCATCGGGCTCTGCGCTGCCAGCACGGAGCATGCTTGGGATTCTCTCTCTCCCTCTCTCTGCCCCTCCCCTGCTCTCTCTCTCTCTCTCAAAATAAATACATAAATATTAAAAAAAAATATTCCTCTACAGGCAGACCTGCAGGATAGTCTGGAGATGACTCTTAAATCAAATAAAATCTTATCCCAAGGACAGAAACGACTGTCTAGATTGTGATGGTTTTGTCAACTATGGAGTTACACAACTAGCTGCAAGGGCCAAGAATGTTTGGAAGGAGAAGTGTAAGGCATAGGGCCTCATATTTACATGAAAAGATATTGGACTTCACTAAGTAAAGTAAGTTAGAAGAAAAGAAAGAGAGAACTAAGTTGTGTGTCTCCATGAAGGAGACATGGGAATCCTGTGAGTCATTAACAACAGCAGTGGGCAATTTGGAATTGCTTATGGTGAAAAAAATGGAAGGGTTATATGATAAATTTTCAGTGCATTTGACAGTAATGTTTGCCAGATGGGTAAGGAAGAGTGCTTTGAAGGAGCCTCAAATGCTTTATAAAATGATCATTTGGAACCTTCACAGTGCTCTCTGAGGAGTGTGGCTGGACCAATATTTTGTAGAGGACAGAACTCATAATGGAGGGAGGGCTCCCTACCTGATCTGTGGGTACAGATCTCTGGGCCAAGGACTTGAATGTCTTGTCTCTTTTCAAAGCCTCATTCTATGTCTTCTGTGTCTCTTTTGAAATCGCCACTTCTTCATGCCTCATCTCTTCCACTGGCACATCCAATTCTGCTGCATCTGCCCAGGGAATTGCTTTCTTGTATTCAAAAGTCCTGCCCTCTTCCCCCCTGCCCCAGCAGGCCTTCTCTTTATGATGGCTATGACCAGAAAAACAAACAAACAAACAAACAAATAAACAATTTTAGTGAAACAAGAAACTCAGTCAGAGTATCCAGTGGTGTTTTGTGCTTCCTGGTTGGCTTCAGCTCACACTCAGAGCACCTTCCAGATTCTCAAGAAACACCTAGCACTGTACCTCACATGAGTCACTAGTTTAGCACGTATGAACTCAGATGTGTAAAGAAAAAGTAACTTTTTTTATTACTCAACATGGTTACTGAGCCTCATTCCAACAAATGGCAGAAACAGCATCTTAGTTATTTCTGAGAAAGTGCCATAATTTTCAGGTTAAAAATAAATCAGTTCACATCTCCCTCCACCTCTTTACCTCCTCTTCAGAGTACACCTAAATTCTGGGGTCCTAGGTTGGAGTCTGGCATCAGAGGTGGCTCTGGTCCACGGTCATGGACATCTCTCCCAGATTGAGTGTGCTAACAGTGTCCTGGTCAACAGGCTGGATTTATTGAATCTTCCTCATACTGTGGGCTTTGGGGCTGCTGGCCCTGTTTCATTTTCCAAGGATGTTCCCAATGCATAGAGAAAGACAGACAGACAGACAGACACACACACACACACACACACACACACACACACACACACACACGAGATTGGTCTCAGGATTTCTCTTATTAGACCTGTCCTAACATCATTCTACATTTTGTCTGGAAAGGTGTTAAGATGAAGGGGATAGGATCCTAAGGTTTTGCTCACTTTTCTGCCTCCCATTCCTGGTATTGATCAAAAGTCTCTTTGGCCCCTGCTTTGCTAAACCTATCTGGGGTTCTATTGTTTCCCCAGCTCTTTCCCACCTCATCAATCTCACCAGAGTCTAATTCTCTTGCTTATGCTCAAATTCCCCTTTCCTTCCTCTTTCCTAATTCAGAGAGGCTTTGTTTTGTTTTTGCGAGAGGAAGGAAAAAGAGTACAAGTGAATGAGTTCAATGAAATACAGGTTGAGCAAGCAGGATGGGAAACATATGTTAGTATTTCATACACCATCTACCCTCATGAGGTTACACAAATGCCATAACCACAGATTGCTGATGCTGGCTTTCTCCCCAAGGAACTAGTACTCCCTGGGTATATGGATGGACTACAAGCCTTAGAAAACCAAACTTCCAGTTATAAGGTAAATAAGAATGGGGGATGTAATATACAACATGATGACTATAGTTAACATTGCTGTATGGTCTATTTGAAAGTTGAGAGTAAATCCTAAGAGTTTTCATTACAAGGAAAAAATCTTCTTTTTTTTTTTTTTTAAGAGGATCTTAACTAATCATGGTAATCACTTCACAACATATGTAAATCAAGTCATTATGCTTTACACATTAAGCTTATAGAGTGCTGTGTGTCAGGAAGAAAATGAGTTTTAAAAATAAAGTTAAAGTTATCCTTGGGGGTTAATCAAAACGAGTATATTTACCTGCACTCAGTCATAAGTCTTTCCTTTATTCTTGCTGGGTTTTATATTTTTCTCCAATGTTCCACCTCCTACTAATGTAAAAGGTGTGATGAATCCTAGGGCTCTTAATTATTGAAATAATGAGATGATGTTCAATATTTCATCTATTTTTTAAAAATGTTTTTAAAAATGTTTATTTATTTTTGAGAGAGAGAGAGACAGACAGAGAGAGAGAGAGAGAGAGAGAGAGAGAGAGAGACTGAGCATGAGCAGGGGAGGGGGAGAGTGAGAGGAGACACAGAATCTGAAGCAGGCTCCAGGCTCTGAGCTGTCAGCACAGAGCCTGAAGCAGGGCTCAAACTCACAAACTATGAGATCATGACCTGAGCCAAAGTCTGATGCTTAACCAACTGAGCCACCCAGGCACCCCAATATTTCCTCTATTTTCAAAAAAATATGTGAGCACCATGAATTGGTAGGAATGTTCCTTGTACAATCAATTATTTCTACCCAGAATGTATGGATGGAGCCATAGCTTGCAGAGGCTTGGCATGAACAGAGTTTGCCTATTTGGATACA